AGAGAGAGAGAGAGAGAGAGAGAGAGAGAGAGAGAGAGAGAGAGAGGAGTATCATTGAACAACGGAAGTTGAGAACACGGTGGACGACAATGGATCGCATCAGCGCAGCGGCCAAAACGTACCAGTTTGCTGTTCGCAAAACGATCAATCGGCGAGGTTCTCGCGTTCTTCGTCGAAGAAAATAGTAACGCTCACGGGAGAAAGAAAAAGAGAAAGAGAGAAAGAGAGACGGTCTAACGCCGCGATATATCCGCTCGATTTACTTTCTCGACTCCCTTCTGTCTTCCTGTCCTTCCCTCACCGATGCCGCCGCCGCCGTCGCTGCTTTCTCGCTGCACAAAAGCCGACACGAGGGGGGAACAAAAAAAGACTCGCTCGTCCGTGCGAGCCGCGCGCGCGAATATGCACCGCGAGCGCAATTATACGACGAACACAGCCGTGAAACGCATGTAGCAGGCGACCACGACGACGAACCGGTGTGCCGGGGCGAACGAGCACAACGGCGGTAGGGAACGGACGGAAAGGGAGGAAACGGAGTGGGGAGAGAGGAGAAAGAGAGAGAGAGAGAGAGGAAAAAAAGAATAGAATACCGTAGCTCACCTTCTTCGCGTTTTATTGTTCTCGCTTTTGCTTCCTTTCTTCCTTCCCTTTGAGGATCTTCGCGTAGATTTCGCGATGTCGCGACGTATTGGCTGCCTCTTGGTTCTTCCTCTTCCTGTTTTTGTCCTTACGAGAAGAACCGTTGGAATTGAAGAATTTATTCAGCATTGGGAATTCGGTAGATTTATTTTTAGAATTATTATTATTGGTGTTATACGATATTAGCGATGACGTGTTTGACAAAAGTTTCGTTATAATAAAATAAATATTTCGTGATAAAGAATAGATTAAGATAGGTAATTATAACAATATCGCTTTGCGTTGTATTTACACGGTAGAAGCAACATTTTATTTCTCGAACATGAAATACAAAACCAATTTATTACGCTATTTTATTTTCATCTCTAGTTGCAAGATGAAAGATAATATCGAACGAATAACAAATGATCGTATACGGATACATGAACATGGAACAATTTCCTCGGAACACACACGTATATGGATTCATATCATCGAAAGGATTAACTTGATCCCAATCTTGAATTTAACAATAACCTAACCTGTACACACACACACATACACACGATCCTCTCTTCAGTCAAAACTCTCCCCACGCTGAACATCCGTCCATTCGGATGGTTCGCGATCACCGCTCGGTTCTCCCTTATAAACCATTTACGAGCGGACGAGGCGGCACGTAATTACGTAACGAACGCACCCCAAGACACCGGTAAATTACCGGCAACGCAGCGAGGCGACGGGAAAAAGGAGAAATAAGAACACCAAGGGAAGGACACGCGCTACCCTCTCGCTTCGAGTCCCTCGACTGTACTGCCCCCTCTCCTACCTATACCATTTCGTTTCAAACTCTCCTTGCGTCTCTGCACTATAGCCCAGCGTACAACTATGGCAATCCTCGCGAAATTTGTAGGATGACTGAATTTAAGGTGAAATACACGATGGATTAATAACAAAAAGGCTAGGCGAGAGGGGAAGGGAGGGGGAAATATTTCGCGTTTGGATTCGATCAGAAGAGCCTATGTGACTTTACAGTTAGTAGATAAGGACCGACAAAGCAGGAAACATCGATGGTCTCTTTCTTCCTCTTTCAGTTTCCGTTCTCGTTCTTCCTTCCTGTCTTCCTTCCTTCCTTTCTTTCTTTCTTTCTTCATTCGTTCATCCGTTCCTTTGGTGCTCATTTCTTGTTAAGACAAGCGGAACAAGGACAAAGATAAATAGAAAGAGAAAGAATAGCGAGAGATGAGTGAGACGTATAGTTAGTGGTATGTGTGTACAAAGAGGATGGGAAACATACAGGGGGTGATGGTTTAGGATTGGAGGGAAGAGAAGGAGAAGGTGGACGACGAGGGAAGGCGGTGACCCGCGGTGCCTGTCTGTCGTGCTGGCCGCGTTTCAGAGCTCTCCTTCTAGCGTGCCACGTTATAGCACCGTTGCTTCTCTATCTATCTCCCTTTCTCCGTCTGCCTTCGTATCTCTGTCTCTATTTCCCTTCGGATTCTCTCATCGCCCGTAGCGAGTTTCAGTCACGGAACGCGCGTGTTTCGTCCTGCAGGGTTGTAGAACGGAAGGCGAATACGGAACGAGTTGAAAAATACGGGACGAGGAATTAGAAGAGAGGAAAGAAAGAGCAAAAATTGGTGATAGCTCGCTCCATCCGATCGCAGTGCCGTTCGAAGTATGCAGAGCTATCGAGAACGATGCGACTCGGTGACCGAGGAGGGCGAACGACGCGAGACAATCGCAATTCTCCGCTTGGCTCTGCTCTGCTTCGTTGGCACGTCGCGCCGCCGTGAGGTAGAGAGCAGAGAAGAGCGCTCGCGATTGGGAGAAAGAAGCATGAACGAGGAACCCGTTGGAAAAGAGAGAAAGAGAAAGAGAGATAGAGAGAAAAGAGGATAAAACAGCAAAGGAGAAGGTGGATAGGGTGTAGAGGTTGTGGAGAAAGAAAGGCAGAGAGAGAGAGAGAGAGAGAGGTTGGCGCGAGGGAGAACTTTGACGAGGCGGTGGAGGAGGAGGAGGAGGAGGAGGTAGTAGAAGAGGAGGAGAGGAGAGCGAGGAGAGGACGGTAGGTAGAAGAGGGTGAGCCGCAGCAGCGGGCGACTGCGGCTCTGCGAGAGTGTAGAGAGCAGGAGCGAGAGGAGTGGCGCGACGCGGACTGGTGAACCGTTGGGGACGAAAGGGGCGGAGGAGGTGGTTGGTGTGCGCGGTAGGGTGACGCGGAGGGGAGACGTAGCAGGGAGGACGGAGGTAATTTGAGCGTCACACGCCGAGCGAGCGAGCGAGCGGCAACGAACGAACGCCAGGCAACGTCTATGTGCTACATAAAGAGGCTCCCCCTATCCTCCCCCTTATGTATCCAACCCATCGCGAACCTACGATGTGACGCGACCCATGTACAACGCGTCCCAAAAGTCCCGTGTTGCTTGCCTGCTGCCTGCTGCCTGGCTGACTGTCTGCCTGCTTGCCTGCTTGCTTTCCTGCCTGCCTGCTTGCTTGCCTGCCTGCCTTTACCTGTCTCTGCCTGCTAGTAGCCTGGCTCTGCTTCGTAACCCGGTGTGTCCCAGAGAGAGAACCGCGCTACTCTGTGCCGGGATATAGCGTATATGAGAGACCACGGGCGCTGGGCAAGCACTAGCTGGGAAATGACTTTAACCCGGGTTATCGAGGGACGACGATGTCGACGACGACGACGGAACGAAACGGAGGATAGGAAGGAAGGAAGGAAGGAAGGACGGAAGGTGGTAAAGGGGGAAGGCTACGAAATTTTTCAGGAGCGAACCATACTACGGTGAACGCTGTAAAGGCAATGATGTTCTTCTACACTGTCATAGGATATCGGTGAAAATCTTCCAACCAAAGGGAACGACCGCGTGGGTGTGGTTTTTGGCGGCAAAGCTTCCTCCTCTTCGAGAGTTGTAATGAGTGTAAGAGTGTATCTATAATATGTATATGGATATAGCTATACTTACGTACACCGATGCAGCTATGCATATATACCTGTACGAATACTTTCATCGATGATTCGCATTCAAGCCTTCGCTAATGTGTGTGTATTTTCGATGAGGACGCAAGCGGATGCTTGTTTTTGTCCTATGAGATTTTTCTCCAGAGTTAGAAGCGTTCATGCGTCAGCTGATCGATCAATATCGATCCATCTTCTTTCTAGATCAATCTTTCTTCGAATATTTCTCAACACGCGCAACTCGTCATTCTTATCATCGGTGATCGGTTGATTCGAAGGAAATCGACTCGAAGTATTTCTAGAACGATCCCCAGCTGGTCGATCGTCATTCAAAATTTCCGCGGGGCCAACTATTTTAGGTCACGGTATTTCGGCGATTCCGCCTCGATGGAACGCTCTCCTAGACTGGGAAAGAATGGACTCGGAGAGTCGTTGGAAACTCCACTCTGGTATCTCCGAGTTCCATCCTTTTATATCTCGAACATTGGTATGTATATTAGTAAGTTGCATAATAATAATTGGAATAATGGGTAGAAGAATTTGAATATTAGGCAATTTTGATTAATTTAGACAATTTTAATTCAAAAATATATAATAACTGTTGAAAATCATCAAATTTTGAATAAAAATTTTTACGTTAATTTATATAAAGTAAACATTAAAATTTCGCGAAATAAAAATACATAAAAACAAAATTTATGAATTATTTGATATCATAAAATTCAAAAGAATTGAAAAATTGAAAATTTAATCTGAAAAAAAATATATATATATTTGTTTTGCTCTTTTCTTTTAAATATTAATAAATATCTGTTAAGATTCTTTCAATTTTATCTTTCCGAAGAAGCTAAAATCAACAATCAAATATTTTCGCATGCCATAGGGATTGGTTTGGATATTAGAATAGCTGCAAATGCTTTAATTCTTATAGAGACAAAAAATTTTTATACGTATACGTACACATATATATTATTTTTACAATAATTTGATATTGTAATAAAAGAAAAAATAAATATAAATAACAATAATAATAATAATGAAAGAACCTAAATTTTTTCAAAAATAAAAAAAAATTGTACACACATGTTAAATTTCTTAATGCTTGAATAGAGAAATAGTTCCGCCTTAGAAATGTGATTTATGATCAAACTCTGAGAATGATAATTTGTTTACCGAGCAAACCTGCAAAGAGGGTTTCTCCCACTCTTTCATATTCTCCACGCTTTCTCCGTCGTTCGTTCATCGTAATATGTATATACCTTAGGACGCGAGTCGTATGAATTTCCATGGCACGATCGCGTCACGGCTTCGACCACTTCACACCTGTTATTATTATAAAACTCTGTCGGATGATGTTTCCGATATGCGCGTGCGCAATTGCGCTGTAACATCGTCAAAACGGGTATCACGAGTCACGCGCAATTAATCTTGATTATCATTGATTTTGTATCGTTGTGATATGAACTTGTTAGAATTAATTCTCAGTATTATATTCGTTATTCCTTCTTCGATTTTATTATATGTAATATCAGAAATTGTACTTCTCGAACACATGAATTATGGATGCTAAGATTTTGACTTCAAACTTAACCTCACTCTTCATAACATGAAGAATCAAATTTCATCTCGATTCAACACATGATGAAAAATATGAAAAATATGTACGTATTTTTTTATATAATTTAATCAAATTTTATTATATCGATTTTTAAGATTTTTTATATTGTTTGAAATATTTGAAAATATTATTTGAATTATTAAGTTTAACATATATTTTATTTCGAAACGATAGGTAATATCAAAAGATTCATTTAAATCATAACTTATAAAAGAAAGTTAAGTTATCGTAACATTACGGATATAATAGTAATTTCATTTACTTAAATAAATAAATTTTGTATTTATATTTGTAGATTTTTACTTGTTCTTTTTTTTCTGTTTATAAATTTAATAGTATTGTTCTTTGAATATGTCTATAGATATTGCAATTTGTAGGTGAGAATGATGGAGATATAGAGCGTTCAATTTATGAAGTGGTTATGTTCGAGGTTTGATTAGATGTTTGTTTAGGCTGGGAATTGCTCGGATGTCGGTAAGTGTTTGAATTCATACGGTACATAACTTCTGGTTTTATTATGCTCGTAACCTTGAACGTCCTTGTACGATGAACCCATATATCACGCTACTCTCTGCAACTCGGGAACAAGGTCAAAGCATGTACATTTGCAGCAACTTCTTTTATCGCTTTCGCTTTCTGCGACCGATGATCATACTTATAGTGTGATATTACTTTTTGCATATTAACAGTGTTATTCAAAATATAATAATCGTTATCGTGTGATAAATGATTGTTTTTCCTCGGTTTAATAAATAGTTAAATAAATTTAATAATTAAAAATCGATAAATTTTATAAATAGAAGAAAGAAAATTATATTTTACATCATTATTTAATTTTTACGATTCTATCGATCCGAGAAACCAATTTTCTACTATTTATCAAATTATTTTTCTATCTATTTTTTAACTATGATACTACGATAAAAAGAAAAAATACAAATAATCATTAGTTATAGAATTCTAATTTTTGAGATAAATAATTTTTCTTCCATTCTTGGACTGTTCTCTTTATTTTTGTTTTCATCTTTGTGACCCTCATGAAAAAAGAAAGAAAAAGAAAGAAAATAAACGTTGCTCGATATCGGCTTCGACTGTCACGAAAATCCGGATTGGTCGCGGCGACTGGCGATCGCATAATGGGCACGGGAGCGATGATAATGGGCGCGCGCAGCGTCTTTCGAAACTTCCTATCGGCCGGTGACGTCGTCGTGTACATCCTGTATAAGTACATACGTATATGTGTGTGGCATCGAGTATCGGTATTAGGGCGGAACGAACAGAGGGTGTATACACGCGATGCTTGTATACGTCGCAAACCCACGCACACTTATGCACACCCACATATATCTATACACTCTTTCCTTGACGTGTGCATGTACATTACCGATCAAAAATTTGAAATCACTTTCTCGGTTGTACCTATATAAAATCTTATATAAATTTTTCTAATCATTCGAAATTAATTCTATGAATATTACTTAGATAATATAAAAATGTATTATGGTTATCATAAAGATATCTGTGCTATCTTTGCACTATTATTATTAAAATTATACAAGTTGTAAATGAGAAGTTATCATAATGATTACAACTCTTTCCTCTTTTTATATCATTTTTTTAAATATATCGTATCCATATCATATTCTTCATCTTAGTATTCTAGTACAAAAATTTACCATTCGAATTTTATCAAGCAATAATTTTTCTTCCTGTAATAAATTTTTCTCGAAATTCCATCGTAATAGATAATAGAATAAAAATTATGAATTTTGTTGAATCGAAATTAAACAAATTCACTCATTTTTATCAATTTCTTTCTAAGCTAACTTTTTCCCCCGATTTCAAAATCGTATCAACTTACAATGATTCGAAACTTTTGTTCGATAGTGTATATCCGCGATGTCGACGCGACATACACCGCGTTCCGAAAGGCTTCCTGCCATATTCGAGAAGATAGAGAGTACTACACATTCGTTGGTTACACACGCGATAAAGAATCGTTCGATGGGTGGTGGAGAGGGGCATAGACGAGCATTAACGAAATTGTTGTGGCGTCACCGATTCACCCACCCTCTGCGCACACCATCCCATACTCCTCATACTCGGGTCCCATTTTCACCCTCGTCGACGTATGTGGCATTCCTGAAGTCCTCGGCCGCGATATCGCCGTAGGGTTGATGAAATTGGTACGTTGATTAAATTGTTGCTCGGAGCTGTCGAACAGCCGCGACCAGCCGCGAGTGAGCGCGTGTCCGATCGAACGGCGTATACCACGATCGACCACGTCCACCCTCTTCTCCCCTCCCTGCTCCCCGTTTAACGATGGATATTAATCTTAAGCGGAAAAGTTGAACGAAGTCGATGATTCTTTCATCAAGATTGAATAGTCGATGGGGTTGCTTTCTTGTACGTTGAATGCAATGTTGGATAGAACGATTAACGATTATAATTGAATTTTAAATTGTCAATCAACCATTAACGATTAAAGTATTTTATTTTGAAGCTATGTAAGGATTAAGATATTTATAATAGTTGCGATTAAAGATTCGTTGTTCAGAAAGATAAGAGGATAAAAAGAAAGTCAATTTTTGTAATAAATCATGGCGGATATTCAACGACTTAGAAGAGGAACTACAGATATGCGAAAAAATTGGATCGATGTCAGGAATCGCTTTTTTCATTTTTTCTTATATTTTTTGTCTACTCGCGTGCGGTTAATTGTTTGATCACCAATTAGTAAGGATAATTTGATACTCTTTGTAAAAGTTTCTCATTCTATTTCTTTTTTCTCGTTTTTCTAAAAAAATTAAAAAAAAAAAATTATAACATGAAGAAGAATTTTCAATTCGTTTACAATTTTATTCTCGTATATTTCTTTACTGTATCGCGTAATTAAGTGATTTTATACGAAATACAAAATTTAAAGAATAAAAAAGAAGGAAAAAAGAAATTTCCTTAGCCGTAGAAAGAATCTGATAAGCGATTTAGTATTAACTTAAAAATTCGAGGCACGCGTTTGAAACACGCTGTATGAGGCGATCTTTATTAAAGTCGGCCCGGCTCGCTAAAGGGGATGGCAGATTTAAACCTTTCTCCACGAGCAAGCCATCGTACCAATTCTATGACCGCGTTTATATCATTCTATGTTCCTTCAACAAGTGGAACTTCAAAAAGAAGTTACAGTTAAACGACTAAGCTCCCGCCAACGTTTTCTCTGCAACCTTGTACCACTCACAGTCACCCGTGAAACTTTTCGATTGTGACCCGCGTTGCAACATCTCGAAAACTTGAAGATTCTCTCCGTCTTTCGTTTTTAGAAACGTGTCCTAACTTCTTCTATCGAAAATATATATATATCTATTCGACATATCATTAATTAATTTATTTTATCAAGCGCTCATAAAAAAACTAACAATCCAAACTTTCTCTCACTTTTCAAAATGAAAATTCGTTAAAGAAAATTATTAAAATATATTATTTATTAAATTATTTTTCTATCTATTTTTTAACTATGGTACTACTATGATAAAAAGGAAAAATACAAAGAAAATAATCATTATAAAACTTAATTAATAACTTATTAAAAACCCATAAAAATTTCATAAAGAAAAATTTTCGAACTGAGGAATTTTAAAAAATTCTGAATTGGCGCGAGCGATTAAAATATATCGAAGAACGAATCTCTCTGCTCGAACTAATTAATCGACGAGAAGAGGACGTTCGAGACCGATATACACTGGACAAAACTTCCAGCCTCGAATATCCTCGCGAGATTACATAAATGCGGCGCGTTTATTCAAAGAGGATCAATCGTCCGGATAATCCGGCATCCGTTGAAACTTCCGGCAAAGTTTCTGCGAATCCGCAGCCACGTACGAAACAACAGGGAAAGAGAGAGGGAACGGGAGCGGGAGGAAGCGGGAGGTGGAGAGCTCATGAATGAACGAGTACGCGGCAAGTTTCCAGCGTGCTCGAAACAACATGTACCGGGGATCCATTTCTTAGCGCGACAACGGGAACGATCGCGCGACCGTTTTCAAACTTTCAAGGGCTGAAACTTGGTGGTAATGCGCACACACGTGTATATATATATATATATATATACACACATATGCATTGGAAAAAATTGAAACGTTCGCACGATTCACGGAACGTGGCAACTATTCGGCAAATTATTTATCGCGTGCGACTTCCGGCTGAACCTATTTTGTTTCGTAACCGGTTGAATTTACGGAGGAGGTTATTCTTGGTGTTAGGTCGAGGTCAAGCGGTCGAAAGTATTTTCGGTCGGATTGGTCGGATCGGGTTTAAGGAGGAGCGTTTGGTTCATTATATATATATAATATATATATATAAATTATACGATATTGTGGATTTTTATAAAAATTTTTAAAAATCGGATTTATTAATTTTATATTTTACTGTGTATAGTAAAAAAAAAAAAAAAAAACGTTATTCAAATTTACACGGTTTTCACATTCTTCCCATTCATAATTCTTTGAAACGTTTCATTCTCGACACGTTAACCTCTCATTCCGCGACTTTTTACCCACGTATATTGAAATCGAGCATTCGTTCCAACGCTCTGTCCCCAACATCAAAGCATCGCCCACGACTGACATTTGTCAATTCGCCGTCCCAAAAATCACGACTAAAATTCTAGTCGAGACAAAACTCAACAACGAATGGAACCCGCCCCCGTTACTACCGAACCACAGCCCATGTCTCGAATACGACACGATATTACGATATATCTCACGCACTGTTCAACATTTTCTCCTATTCCCAAAGAAAAAAAGAAAGAAAGAAAAAAAGAAAGAAAAAAAAAAAAAAAAAAGAAATAATCCTCGATAAACCCCCGTTAAACTTTTCTTCGTATAAATTCCTCGTAGCTTATATACGCAGGGTTCGCATGACACGTCTTCCGTTGGACTTCCACCCGAAGATGGCAACATCCTCCTCGTGGGCGGGGGTATAAGGACGAATCACGGATCGCTTGTCGGTATTCGTGGCGCGGCGCACAAAGAGGATAGAAGGTTGATGGAAAGGTCGAGCGAGCCGGAGCACACGATGTCGTGGATATAGGGGCTCGGTGGGGTTTGGAGGGGTGAGGGGATGAAGGAGGAGGCGGTCGAGGCGGAGGGTCGCGCGATTAATTCGCAGAACGACGAAGGATATTCCCGCGGCTGGCCCCATATAAGCCCTCCTCCCTTTCCGAACCCTCCTCGGCATCCCACCGGCTGTCTATTTCTCTCCCACCCTTCCACCCTCTCTTTCCCCAACCGTATGCCGTGTCCGCGGCATTAGGCGTCGATCTACCGAGATACGGAGATCGAGGCAGCGGTGGTGCGCCTCTGGCCTCGTCGATGCCAGGCACGTCTGCCTTTTGGGGCGCCTCCTCCGCCTCCTTCGTTTCCCCCCTTTCCCTCCTTCCTCATCCTCTATGTACGTATATCCGCGCACATAGCGGACCA